CCTTCAGGATGAGACTCGTTAGTCCTTTCAGTCTGCAGACTCTGCTGTTGCCTTGGTCACACATCTTGCCTCGAAAACGAAACGAACCGCCTGGCGAGGAGCGTTCCCTTCCTTCCGTTCAAATTGCACCGCCAACCTCTTTGTCCACAACCTCTCGCTCCGAGCTATCGGAAAATTCTGACGACGCTGTATCAACACCTCTGTCTCGTAGACCTGCCAGACTATCTCGTTGATACTAATATCGGTTGCAGGCGATGTTCTTAAGTCTGCCTGTTCACTCCCTGTCTCTCCCTATCTATCTTTCGTTTCGAGATTCGAACCCGGTCGTTTACCCGGTACCGCGTTGCGTAAATTCGACGTTGCTCCGGGATACGCGGATACGGATTCCGGAGACGAAATTGAGGTTGTTCGACGCGGCGAGGGGAGTAACACGGGAAGACGAATTGAACGCTCCTTTGGAAGGGAAGCCTGATGTCTTTTGAGTCTTATGGTTGATGCGATAAATTGTATCCTTTGGCGTGAAAGTTGCGTAGAGTGGATGCTGAGAGGAGATCGTTTAGGAGTGTTCTTGAAGTGAGTTTAAGATATTCGATCAACTAAGCTGTAATGTGCAATTCATGGATAGGTGAAAATATTCGTGTAACTGATCTTCTTTTGCTGGAAAGTAGCGAGTGCCGTTGTGTAAGCTAAAGTATACAAACTAACCCTTTCGCACATTTTCTCACTTATATTATATTACGTTTGCAGTATTTTACAATTATTATTTTTCAAATATTTTATGGAAAAGTTAATCATCTTAATATCTTAGTATATTTGTGAATATACCTTAATCCTTATGTCAATAACCGGGTACCCGAGTACTCTTTCGCACTTAAAATATTTTATTTTCCCGGTGAAAGATATGAATATCCAGCCACCTCGACATTCGTCGCATTTCTCATCCGTGTTTGCTTCAAATTTCGAATTTTCTAATCAGAAAACTACTAAAATTGGACGACAAGGACATCGACACAATGGTTAATCAAATCACTCCGAATCAAACATACTCCCAACTTCATTACTCAACACAGAGAAAACGAACAGATCACCCACATCTGTGAAAATCCAAGAATGATGCTTCTCGAGTCTCGCAGGATCTTCCACGGTCACGCGAGAGAAGGCAAGTCACGCGAAAGTTGGCGCGAAAAGTCGTCCTGGTTCCCTTTAGGCTACCGATTCCCTATCCGACGACATATTCAATCAGGGTATCATCGAGTCTCGCAAGTTTTCGCGGCTCGTAGTTTGTATCCGGATGAGTTTCGGGGTTCTCAACAGGGTCGAAAGTTGTTCGCGATCCCACGGATGAGCACAGGCTGCCGGGGACACGTATCTTACGCGGGATCAGCGGAAACTACAAGAAGGGTGCAGGGGAACGATGGAAAGGGAGTCAGGAATGGTGATGGGGGATGGGTTTGCACGGGTAGAGATTTGATTTATATGTTAATCGCCAGTGCCGGCCGATGTCGGCAAGTGCGCAGCCTGTCGTGCTACTCTTTTACTCCGGTCGCCGTAACAATCCTCGAAATATGGCGTATAAGTAGACACCGTTGCTTGCTGGAGCGCATATTGGTGGGTATTGCGGGACATTTCACTCGGTACAGTTTGTGTTACCTGAAAAATATTGCCGCGGGACGTTAGATCCACTTTTTCCACATCTTGATGCAAATATTTATTTACTGACTTGGTCGTGTAAGTGACTTACTTCAGGAATTTATAGGTAGTGTGTGCTGCACGTAGGTTGACTGTACTGGGTGTCTCATTTGTAAGGAACATCTGAATTATTTCTTCTTATTCTATGTAAGAAAATGTTGCTAACAGGAGTTTACGTATGAGACGCTGAGAAGCTAAGATGTGTCACTCCATCGAATTAAATTTATGCAATTTTTTTTATTTATGAAGAGTTAAGCAAAATTGGAAGAATTTTAAGAAGTGGAGTTGATCATTTTGGCTTCTGAGTGGCACGTATATGGTTCGAAGGTGTGTATCTGAAGATGATCAACGAAAATCCTCTGAATTGTCAATTTTTGTGCTTTGATACTAAAATTGGACCAATATGAAAAAGTGGAGTTGGTCATTTTGGCTTCTGAGTGGCTCACATATGGTTCGAAGGTGTGTATCTGAAGATAATAAACGAAATGAAGATCATTTTTGGTGCTTTGATACTAAAATTGGAAGAATATCAAAAAGTGGAGTTGGTCATTTTGGTTTCTGAGTGGCTCACATATGGTTCGAAGGTGTGTATCTGAAGATGATCAACGAAAATCCTTTGAATTGTCATTTTTTGGCACGAAGATAAGTTCGTTTTATGGAAGAGATGGAAAGAGACAACAAATCCTGAAACCTTTGTAACACAACCAAGCTGAAAATTGCCGAGGTACTTCCACTTTCGACGCAAACGTTCGAAAGTATTCCCTTAAAGACCGAACAACCCTCGTCTTTTCGAAAACGTTTCCGGAAGGCGCGGCTCGTACCGTTCGATCGTAAGTCCAGCTTTTAACTCGTTCCTCCGGTGAAATAATTGCAGCAAGAATTTCTATTAGAGAGAAGTTTCCGTGCGAAATAAACGGGGTCACCGTCGTTGGAAAAAAAAGCGGGATAGCGTCTATTGAAAGTCGGCGCGCGGTCGAAAACTAATTAATTAGCAATGAGCCAGGCGATGTCGATGGAATCTCTGCTACTAAAACTGAGACCATCGTCTTCTGGGTGGAACCTCTCCGTGGATTAAAAGTTTCCATGGCTCTAAACGTCAGCGAGGAAATTAATCGTGCTTCTGGAAGGAATTCGTCGAACACGGTCGTTGAAAAATCTATCAATCCTTATCGATGACAGCTAATTTTTCTAATCTTCTCTCACATTTTATAACATCGTTGTAACAAGATAACGAAAAGTGAATTGTAATCCTCGTTGCAAGTGGAAATAAGAAAAAAGGAAGAAATCTTATCTGTTTGAAGCTGTCCTAATTACTACCGTCGATTTACAGATTATAGATCGTACCGATTTTTACCAGATAAGCTGGTATATATCGACGATCGATGCAGCGTATGGAATGGGGGCAATGGATTATCGCGATACATCGATGAGCGATCCCGATAAAGCGACGACAGAAAAATACGAATGAAATTAACGAGAGATTACTGACTTCTGTTGCGAAACGTGACACACACGTGCGACCTCGTATGACCGAGAGCTTGTTGCAAAAAGTAGAGGCAGCTTTTTGAAAATCGAGAGAAAGCCAGCACCGATGAAGATCTACGAGTTACGAGTGCTTTGTCCCAGCTGATGGATACTATTATGGTAATTAAATCCGTTGGACATTCCGCACGGTGGAAATGCAACGAACGCTAATCGCGTTCGGTGTTTCCGGTAGCTTTGAAAGATAAGATGAAAGGATAACGTAAAGATGTTAGCAAGATAGAAACGTGGATACGAAATTCGATTGAAGATTCGTAGATGAAAGCGCGTAACGAGGTTTAGCGAAGCTTTGATCTCTGTAGGAATGATAATTAAATACATGGAATGAGTGATTCCATAAAAAGAATATTTCTGGTTTTTATCGCGAATTATACGTGTCGAAATTGTATTTATAGAAAGCAGTATCGTCGGTGTGTAACGGTGTTCCTGACGAAACAGATTGCAGCGTTTGGTCGCCACGTATAGACCGGAAAAATGATTAATAAAATGCGTGACTAATTTCGATTGAACGCAACCGCGACAGGGATTTGTCGACGAAGTGAACAAAGCCCCGTGAGGCAGATTACACAATTGACTTTTAGAATTATTGCAAACTAATACCCCATGGCGTAATGCCCGTTACAGGATGTTTAACCGCGGGACAATCGCCGGTGATCCATATATTTGCTGACAAAATGTGTAAATCAACATGTGCAATTAGCCCTCAATTTCTAACGACCTGATCGCGAACGGGTAATCGGACCCGGTCCGCTAATAACGCGAACTGGTGAACAACGACGATGTAAATTGCGAATTTAGACAAATTCCGTCGATATTGCGAGAATTTTTTTCCGCCAGTTAAAAAAGTCCAGTTACACACGCGTGGCAAATTCTCTTTGAAAATGTGTATCGAATAAAGTGGAATTTTATAATCAATGCAATATTTACGCCGAAAAAATGAAATTGTGCTATTTAAATTTCTCAGATTAGAAATCATATTTTAAATAAATTTCTACTACATTTGTTCTTCTTTTAATGGATATTGTATACAAAAGTGAGTTCCATTCTTCGTCGTCGTTGAGAAAAATTCAACGTCACAAAGGGAAGAAATTAAGATCCAGGCTCTATTGCAATCAAGTTAAAAATGATCTGTGCATTCTAAATAAATTTCCACTCCATTCCTTCTCCTTTTAATGAATATCTAATACAAAAGTGAGTTCCATTCTTCGTCGTCATTGAGAAAAATTCAACATCACAAAGTGAGGAGATTGTTAAAAGATCGAGGCTCTATTGCGATCAAGTTAGATATGATCTCTACGTTCTAGACAAATTTCCACTACATTTGTCCTTCTCACAAGTACCTCACACAAAAGTAAATTCCATTGTTCGTCGTCGTTAAGAAAAAAATGGAGCGTCACAAAGGGAAGAAGATTGGCGCAATCTGTCGTTAGAGGTTGTCGGAAGATCGGTGCTCTATTGTAATCAGGGGAGCTTCTCAGTCATCGAAAATTCCTTATCGAGCGAAGTGCAACCGCTCATTCAAAATCCTATTTTTCCCTGTGTACTACGACGTGATTTTTATCTAGCGATGTCATCGCAATCGCGCCTGCGAAAAGGCACGGGGTTATTCTTCTCTTATGTAGCCCCGTCCCGTACCCCCTCCACCCCTCTTTCCATCCCTGTAACTACGATATTACGAATGGTTGCACCACATGCCGCTTGTGCGAAGCTAGGTGCATTGTCGTCAGATAAGGATTTTTCGCTGAATCAGAGCAGCAAGTTTCCCGTATAAAAGCCGTTCCGTACGCGCAATCTTGATATTGCTTTAAGATGCTACGAAGTATCGTACTCTGTGCTCTCATTGTCGGATGCTTCGGTGAGTACGAGCAAAAATGGATTCCCCTAATTCTCTTATACGACCGTCGTGTATTCTAACTTGCGTATAAATAATTTCATTTCCGGCTTTCACGATCCTACTCGCAGCTACAGTTTTCTACCATTTCCTGCCGGACGAAACGGTGTATATATGTGTATACTGAAAAATTCAATCGAAAGTGTAATTTATCGTAGATTTCTCGGGATCGTTGATTTTTGAGAGAAACTCCAAAGTGGTGTGAAAAAAAAATAATGCTTTAATTAATCGTCGTTTGAATGTTACGTTACAGGCTACGCGCCGGACGTCCCGAACCTGTTCCCGGACTCTCAGATCGTCGGAGGAAACGAAGTCAATATAAATCAGCATCCGTATCAACTGAGTCTGCAAACTACCTCGCACATTTGCGGTGCCTCGATCATCAGTCCTAGATGGGCCATCACTGCAGGTCACTGTGCCGGGTAATAACGCATGTATGTTAGGTTAACGGTAATTCGTGCGATGAGCAGCCGCGAACAAGCGATTAAAGCTTCACTTTCGCTTTATTTAACCAATATTGATTTAATCTACTAATAAAATGCTAGAATAAATAAATTAAAGTTACTCCCAGAGTATTTTCGTTAACTCTGATTCATCTTCGTTAGCCTGTTAACTCAAACAGAAATTCAGATTCTCTAGTTTGTAATTAAAAATGAATAAAAACTGCGATAAATCACTTTCTTTCAACTTCGATACAGGAGTAAATGAATAAACGTAATTTAAATTCAAAATTACTCTTAAAATTTAAAAATAATAATAATTAAAATTGAATTAAAATTTAAGACTCGCCAGCTAACAGGTTCAACCTACGACGAAAAGAGATTACACATAAGAAGTCTACGTTCGATTTCCTGTTTCAAAGTTTCGTTCTACGTGTACCTATTATCTTGACCATTTTCGAAATTACTCTCGCTTTTCCCTTGGGAATAATTGAATCACAGGTTACGATGAGATAAAGTAACACGACACCGTCATACGGCTGATCCGGGAATTTTCACGCATCGGAACGTTCACCGGGCTCGTCGTGATAATAGTTGTGAAAGCCATCGTGATATTAAATCGGCTTTGCGGCTCGCATTCCAACCCGATTGCCGGCCATTATGCAATAATAATAAGGCCTTCAAATACCGTGTGCATATTTTGGAAAACAAAGAGTCTGCGTTCCGCCGATGCGGAACCTGCATGCATAGTTGTGTACAGAGGATACCTATTTGGAATCGTTGGCATTTTGATGTTTCGTTGATTACAGATACGCTGCCAGCCAGTACACTCTACGAGCTGGCAACAGCAATAAAGACTTGGGCGTTCCTTATAAGGTGAAGAATGTCATTCGACATCCTAACTACAACGCTCGAACTGTGGACTACGATGTCGCGCTTCTCGAGGTAAGTCGAAAGACGTGTCTCCGTGATTTTACGGATTTATGTAAATAGCGTTAGGTATCGCGGAAAATTTGGACAGAATTTTAGGTAGCCAAGTAAACTTCGTACTTTGAACATAATTTTAATTAGGAATCTTGAGATAGAAATTTCATTGTTTGAAGAAATAATTTGTTCTTTGTTAATGTTGGAAAATTCCATTTTGTTAAAAAGTTTCTTTTTAAGATCGAAATTTTGATTTGCAAAGTGTACGATACTTGACTCGTGAACGAGGCTGGTTTCAGCTCGAACTCGGTTAGTATCGTTGCGCTCCCGATGTGTTAATCCCGGAAGGGCGAAATTCTAATAGTTGGTGTGCTGATGGTGAATAAGATTGAACTGGTGAGAATATTTTTGAACTCTGTTTATTTGTGGTGGTGCGTGGGTATATATTAGGTCGGTGTATGTTGTGATTGGTTGGACGTTGAAGGTGGTGGAAAAGAAGGTCTCGAAAAATGCGGAGGTATGATTGGATATTAGGAAACTAGTGGAAGGAGAACGTGAGGGTGAAGGTGGTGAGCAAAAGTTGAAATAATTTGGGGAAAACCCGGAAAGGGGAAAGGGATAGGAAACATGACCAGGGTGCGACTTGAACTGTTTTATGATAGGGAAGGAATTTGTTAGGTGCTAGGAAGACGGCTGGAAAAGACTGTTTATTAATTTATGACATGTCACTGGCCGGTGGGCTGCGCGACCGGGCACAAAGTTTGCAAAATATTTGAGAACAATTGTTTTTGATATACTACCTTCTAGCGTCGCTGTTTCAGCGACATTTTTCCCTTTTTAGTAAGAGAAATATTCATTAAGTGTCGAAAATATGTACTCATTTTTGAAATACTGTAAAAAGATGATGAAAAAATAGTCTTTAACAGATTGAAGCACTGTCTATTGAAAGTTAGTAGAAATTTTCTGGGCAATCTAATATAAAGAATGTTCCGAAGGAAATTAGAATAAATTTTATCAAATTCTCTTTTAGATCGACGGTACATTCCAGTTCAACAGCAACGTGCAACCTGTGAAATTGACAAGTGTAGAACCATCGTCTGGTACGATGCTGGATGTGACTGGTTGGGGCGCGCTCAAGGTAAATCAGTTAATCAGTGATTCGTAGAAAATGATCTTTTTATATTGAAATTAAATTTCCTTAATAATTAGGCTTAACATCGATAAATGACAAAAATTCTTAAGAGTGATAAACAATTTATTTCAGAAGCCTAAAGCTTAAAAATAATTTTTTAATGCAACGGTATAAAAAATATTATTGTAATTTCGTTAATTTTCTCCATTTTTTACAAATTTGGCAAATGAGCGGCTCAAATATCGGGAACCCGAGATCCCTACTGAAGAATCCCGGGATTTCCGTGACTAACTTTTTGAATACGACCATAGTACACATTCTAAGCGAATCCTGGAACGTGATATGGGTTTTCAAAACTCTCTAGATACTTTCAGGAACCCGACTCGATCCCAAGAAAAATTCTCCCCCGGAAATTTTCCAATTCTCACACACCTCCAGTTGAAATACATTCTTGCAATCAATCACAATCAATTTTACGCACCTCTACAATATTCCATTATTGTTCACGTTTCTAAAATATTCCCAAATTTCATCGCAGGAGGGTGGAACTGCTTCACCGAAACTCATGAAAGTATCCATACCAGTAATAGCCAGGAAACGGTGCTCTGCTATCTATCAAAAACTGAACACGATCACCGACAGGATGATATGCGCTGGTTACAGCGAAGGTGGAAAGGATTCTTGTCAAGGTGATTCTGGTGGTCCTCTGACATCCAAAGGCGTCCTCTACGGCGTCGTGTCCTGGGGCTACGGATGTGCTCATCCAACTTACCCTGGTGTTTACACGAACGTAGCTAATCTGCGATCCTGGATCAGGAGCATTAGCGGAGTTTAAATGACGGAATATTAACGTAGTTTTCAGGTATTCGCGACCCGGTACGTTGGAATTTATACTCTTCGAAGCTTTCAGGTGTAATTTGTGTCCAGTAGGATATGTTTCCCATCGTTTCGTCGACACTGCTTCGTCGTAGGGTCCGAGGACGTGCACTGACAATAACCATATTCGGTGCATCGAAGCTCGCGATCCTTTTGGACACAGTTTACACCTGAAAGCCTTAATTACGGTATAAACTGTGCAATTAATCTGATTGTAATATTTGAAAATTGTTTCATTCCCTGTACAAATTTGAGAATACTTAATGTGTTTAAATATAAGCAGCTATGAAAAATGTAATCAGTGGTTTAATTACGAAAACGAGAGTTTCACCGGTGTTATTTATCACGAAGTATTACTTCGAATGCTTTCAGTTCTCCTTTTCTGCGATATTCCCGCGTCGCGTCGGTTCGATCCTCCGGGGTAACGCGAAAAGGGAAGAGCAACGGTCCCGCCTTCCATCATCCTTTCTATTTCTTTATGCACTATCTCGTAATTACAGGACAGGTAGAAAGCAATTGTCTCACAAAGAGCGAACGCGATATTGACGTTCGACGACAGATTGACGGATGGAATAGTTTGTTTAACCGCGAAATGCTTTTTACGTCTGGGGGCTACCTTTGATCCCCGGCAGCACCGCAAACTTTCTCCGATAGTTTATCCAGTCGGACAGTTCGATCAAGATTGCCGTTACCGTGAAGCTACCGCCGTTCGAAGCTCTTTGAAATGTCGTTCTCTGTTGCCTCGAGAAAGCATTAATCCCTCTTAATTCCGATTAATATCTCTCGGTGAATTGAAATAACGTAGAAAAATCATGTTTCACGGGGTAATATCGTTTTAATATCGTTTTAAACGAATGCCTGGAAAACTTTAGCAAAAGATATAGAAGAAATGGAAAAAATTTTTGCGAGCAATGAAACACTCGAAAACGCAGAAATTACTCGCACACACACGATGTGCATATATACAAGAAATACGTTTTATCAAGTAAGTACTCTCGATCGATTAGTTGCAAATTGCTCCAAATTGGATATGTGACTAATCTTGACACGATTGTTCCATTATCTCAGTCTCGATACGATATCGCTAATCACGATCTCACTCGAACATGATGAAATTTCGTTCTTTTCTCTTCCCCCCTTCAATGCCAGAGCTAAATGCTCTTTTCTCTGACTGTGTTTTTATCGAGGCACGCACGAAATGGGTTCCCGGTATCCTTTGAAGTTCACGCGACAACGCAACTTCGACACCGGCTAACGATCGATAACGACGTTTATCGTCGAAATATTTCGTCCCACGAGGGCATCGACAACTCTTGATTTAGGTCTAACTACGATAATTGTACCAGACGTTCGTTGCTCTTCGTCGATCGACGTTCAAATGTCTACGAAGATTTTCTTCTTGCTCTTCTTCGTCCTCTTCGAGGATGGTAAGTTGGACGTTATTGCGAGGAGATCTTGTTGAATTCGTGAATTCATTTGTTCGAGTGATATTCTGTTCTCTGTGTAGTTCTCGCGTTCGAGAATTTGAAGTATGTGAACATCACGGAATACCCTTATCATGTAAGTTGAAATACTGTAATGAGTTCGTGGTGGAAGAGAGAAATATTTTAGTGAAAATGCAAGGAAATTCTATATCGACGACATGAGTTAAAAGAAAGGAAAAATTTGTCGAATGAGAAGGCACTTTTGTTTTTGTTTTCTTTATCAAATTTTGAGCATCGTTGGAAATACTGATCTGAGCATCTAATATCTTAAATATACCACTTCTTCGTAATTTATCTCGATATATTTCACGGAGAAAAAATAATTTTGTATAAACTTTATCATTGTCACGTGAAAATTCGTCTCTCAAAAATAAGCGTGTCGACGAAATCCATCAATTACATGCGAAATATTTCATATTTTCGCTTAATATAGGTGTAACAAATTTTCCCAGGCAAATATTTGACCTTTCCTTTAGTCAAGAATGAAACGTGAAAGCAAAAATGAATCGTTATGATAAATTAACGAAAGTATAAATTAAACAGGTGTCTGTTGAGAAATACGGAAGACACGTTTGTAGCGGAGCACTGGTGCACGAATCGTGGGTGATAACCGCGGCGTACTGCGTTTTTCGGTGAGTATTACACGAATCACGTGGGACGAGATAAAAAATAACAGAAGATAATTTCTTCTAGTACGGATTTATCAATGGTAACGGTAAGAGTACGCTCGTCTTTGCTCGATTCTGGCGGGGAACAGTTGCAGGTGGGCAACATAGTTGTGCACGAGGATTACGATAAATTCGTACTGATCAACGACATCGCTCTAATCAAGGTACGGTGAAAAATACACATTTTTATCACTTTCTGCGAGATTTTTGTCACCGACGAGCAATTAGAGTGTACCAACGATACCGACGAATTAACAATTTGTATATTTCCATGAATATACGAACAATTTAATAAATGTCTTTCGATGATGTATCACTGAAAAGTTGGACACGACGTGTGACAATTTATTGTAACGTGTGAAACGAGTTTACTACACAAATTTTTTAACTCTATTTTTGTATTATTATCGTGGACGAATTTTATCGGGAGAAAATATTCCGATTGTGAAATATAATTGTTTCGTGACACAGTTGAAAACTCCTGTACAATTCGGGGAGAAATTGTTGCCGATAGGAATCCCGGAAAGGAAAGACTATAAGCTCGATGATGGAGCGAGATGTTTCGTGACAGGGTGGAGGCACACGATGGTAAGTGCTGTTTGCTATATTATTAATAAAATAAAAGCTCTGTCGTGTTATGTGAAATGTGACAGGAGCTGGGTACACCGTTTGACAATTATTCAGCTATAATTCTACCTTTATCAATTTCCACGGATCGTGTAACCGCTTCTTACACGAAATAAACGGAGATAAATTTATAAAATTATATCTACCGATAATACGGTGAAATACGATCGAAACGTGCTGTGTTTTCAACATTGTATCACGATGCGAAATCGTTGCAAACGGTCATTCGTTTTATGCCCGGCGCTGATTATCTTTCCGTGTCATCGTTGCGATCATTAAAACGCAAGCTCGTTCGCTAAATATTCACTTTCATTCCGATATCTGATTCAATTTCAGCCCTGATACGATACCTAGATATCGAATCCTCAAAAATACGGGAAAAACACAACAGCGACAAAATCGTACACCCTTTATTATAATGATAATTTTCAAATGATGAGTAGAAAAAGTGGAAAAATGATGAAAAAAAAAAATGAGACGGAGCAAAGAAAATAACTAACAACGTGGGCTGCGATTTTGTTAATAATCCTACGTTGACATTCTGAAAAACAGTGGAACAATACATGTTTAGAAATTCTTAAGTCGAAACGTCCAAACTAAAATAGCAAATATTATATTTTCCTGAATGGAGCAATAGGTTTCTTCATGGTACAATAACGGGGAATAAGACGAATAGAATGATCTCCTATGCACAGATATTCTTTTTCTAATTATCGAATTAGAAGATCAATTGTTCATTATCTCCAATCAATCACAGAGTTTCCCGAAAATCCCTAAATCCACTGGATCTCCTTTCAAGTATTCCTTCAAAGAGCTTAACACTGAAAAGACCAACCGGGTCAAGAATGACCCATTAGCAACTTTCCAAAAAAAGCGAATATTCGATTCTGCTAAATATCTACTATCGGTTGCAACTTTCGCACTTTCTTTTCTGCACGTGTACTTCTATCCGCACCTTTACTCCCGTTTCAATCACATAAAAATTCACTCTCGGAAACTCGCCAATGGGTCATTTTTGACCCGGCCTCTTGGTACTTCTTTCACCTCGGCACTTTCTCGCTCCAACAATGAATACATCCCGATCTACGCACACCAACGTCCTAAAACGTCTCGTTCAAACCATCCTGAACACACCACTCACCCCGAAATCTCGATTCACCCATTCATCGAGCGGCGACGATTTTCAGGCTGGCCCGGTGGAACCACAACTCACGGTGACAGTCGTACCGTTGGTGAATCAGACTACCTGCAAGTCGGTGATGCCTTGCTACGAACCGGTGCTCCAGAGTATGCTTTGCGCCGGTGACATGATCCAGGGGGTGGAGACGTGTCAGGTAAGATGAAGACGAGAGAAACGTGGCCTGGAACCAGGTTCGTTGGATGGAAACGAGAGGAGGAAGCGACGAGGTAGAGAGAGAAGTCTGTGTGCATTCGTGAGCCGCGACAAGCCTGCGACACTTAAGCATCTTGAAGCGTCTGCTAAGGAGATCCCTTGACCTCGTCGCGAACGACGCCACTCGACGTCTGGCGTCTGTGTATATTCGCTTCTCAGAGATTCTCTCTTTCTCTCTCTCTCTCTTTCTCTCTGTGTATTTGGATATGCGTGTGTGTGTGTGTGTGTGTGTGTGTGTGTACGTGTTGCTTGGGCGGCTCGCTGGTGTCAGGAGCAACCGTTTCCCGGAACAATACAGGACTCGAGCTACCAAAAACGCGTTCGCCGTGCACGTGGCACGTAAATGAGGGGTTCCGCGGGTTTGAAGGTTTGGCAGGTTCGACGATTAGGAAGACGGATGACTCTGTTCGATGGCCGATGTTTGCTCTGCTACTGGAGGGATTGAATGGGGCGATCGAGTGTTTAGGTACGGATGATCGAATAGGTGTTCGGGAGAAGTGGGCTAATTGTTCGATGAAAGGGACGGAATTTTGACGGGCCTCTGCTATTTCTGTGTGGGCTCCTTGGTGAAATGGAAAACGGATTCTATAGGATCCGTGGTACATTTACGAAGGTTTTGAAGTTCATATGTCGTTAAAATGTAAATTATGATACGTCGACTTTATTTCCCCTTTTCAGGTATTTTTGGGGAATTTTAGGTAAAAATGAACGTCACTTTCTGCGGCATTCTTCGTTTCGTACATGCTCGTACAGGAATTGTCGTAGAAACGCAATTGGAATTTTAGAAACGAGGTTTAATACAGTCGCCGTGATAAAGCCTCGATCGTTCGCCAATTTTCCACTGTTCTCGTAAACATTTTTTACGTTTATTAACACTGCTACCGGTTCATAGACGTTATTCAATTGCGTGATTACGTTTCGAACGCGAGAATTCGTCTTTGTCTACGACTCGTAACAACGCGAGTTCCCGTTGATAATGGAGAACGTGGAAATTTCAGCTCGTGGGAAAGTATGATACGAATAAATTGCGGGGCTCGTTAACGCGATTCTGATTACCTTTTGCGCGCACCGCCCGCTTACACTTTACCGTACAATTAAGCGACAATTCGGCGTTTCTCGTATACGCGGCCGCGGCTAATTTAGGCGTCGACTGAATCAAATCGACGGACAATGTGACGCATTTGATTCAATTACGGAATTTCGACGAGGCTTCGACCGAATGCAAAGATAACGTCCAGTGATAAGCCAGAGAATGGCGTTCGAAACATTTGTGTATAGAGAGAATTCGAAGAGGCTGGATAAGCTGAACGATAGAGGCTGATAATTTATGTGATCGGTAATTAGCGGCTGGTAAGCTGAATGCTTTCGATGGACAACTGTTGGGTAGATATATGTTTCTTGAATTGTAAAATTCTTACTAATTTATAATTTAACCCTCTGTGACCCGATTTTACTTCGTAGATTTCACTTTTTCATGTTTTTGATAAATTATAAAATATTTAGTATAATGCAATAGTATAGCAATAAGCAAGTAAAATGAGATTTATGAAATATAGATAAATGAATACGTCATTTTTAAGTCACATGACGTTACAGAGAGATACAAGGGTTGTTTTTAATAAGAATATAGGGGGAGTTCCCTTTAAGGTTTTTCTTACATAAATCTCTCTACCTGTGCACACGCGACTGAAACGCGTGGTAAACTTATTTTTATTCCTTTTGTCTCCTCTAGGAGAGACGCAGAATAACGGCTCGGTAGCGTTTCAATTAATGCAGATATAACTAAAGGGAACTCCCCCTACTGTCATAAACGTCGTTTGTCGATTGAAACGAGGAACAAATTATTAACTATTAATTGCAACCCAAGAAGAGTATTATCTGAGTGTATTAAAGTCATAGTGGTGTAAGTGACATTTCCAAAAATTTGGACCTAACTGCTAAAATGTAACTCACACAAGTGAAACTGTTAAAAAGACAAATGAAGTAAGTTACAATTGGGACAAGCTTCCTAGTAACATTGAATACGATACAGTACCAAATTTGATGCTGTGAAATTTATTTGACCATTTCTATTAACATTCTCAGTTTCTCAAAATAAGAAAATTGTGAAAATTGTCTTACACCGCAACAAATTTAACCTCCTCGTCTAAAACTTCGTACAAGACAAGATCTTTAACCCTTTCGCGACTAGCGCCGGTTATATCCGGCATCCGCTAAATGCTTCACACGGGCTAGCGCCGGTTATATCCGCCATCCACTAAGCGCGTCGCATTGGCTCGCGCCTCAACAACTCAAAGTGAAGATTTATTTTAACACATTGAGCGCCGGCCCCGTGAAAACTCGGGATTCTTAATCTATCGCTTGAGCGCCGGCCCCGCGATGATGTGGAATTTTTTTTGCTGGTATGATCAGAAACAAGCGAATGAGGCCGGCGTTTGGGCTTTAACTGGCCGATACGTTGCCGGCGCTCAGGCTTTAAATGTCTCTTATGTCGCCGGCGCTCAATGTGTTAAAATACAGAACAAGGCCTCAACGACATTCCCTTTATCCGATACACCCTTAAGTCCTCTGCTGTTCCATCGAAATCCTCTGAGATTTGAAAAAACGCGAGACACTCTTAATGCGTACGGTGTGCACTAATGGCACGACGACCCGTTAGTGGCGTACCGATGGCTAGTTCCGCGAAAGGGTTAAACGAACGAATTTCGTGTTCGATCTTCCATTCCACCCGCGACTCGCCGAATATAAACAATTAATCACAGATTCATTTAACGAAATCAATGCCAATATTTGCCATCAGAGTCCCGTATCTGAGAGGGGAGTACGTGGGCGCTAACGGTTCGCCGTTGAAGAGGCACAAAAGATGCGGCGCGTTATAAGCAACGTTTGAATACAGCCGGGTGAATAGAAACTGAACATTATTCACCGGGCATAATAGAAAATTGTCATAAAGCGCGGAGATTCCTACACGCTCCATCGTTATAATAATAACAATAAAATTCGCCGGGACCGTACAAAGAGCGATATCTTTCGGTCGGTTTTCCACCGCCAATGGATTCCAATTTTTTCCCGATCTTCCTTCCTCCCCCCCCAACCCTCTTTCTCCTTCTCCATTTCCTCCACTGAAATTCCCCTCTCGCCGCGTCGATATTCCTCCGTTGAAAATACAATCCCGCGAAGGTTATATAACGCGGTGCCGCCTTTTGAAAACAGATAAACGCGGCGGCGATTCGAACATTCGATCTCTGAATGGGGCGGTTAGGTAGCGCGTTTTAAACGGAGCAAAACTAATTGGAATTTTCGGGGCCGTTCTTTAACGACTATTCCACGCCGTTCGTTGTCCGGGGTAATTGTCGAGTGTCGTGTAGATCACGCTGGATTTTTCTCCCCTCGAACTTGAAACAATTCCGCTCTCGGAGAGGAATTTTCGCCTGCGGTTGTTCGTCGCACGTTTTCGAAAAGATAGAACAGAGCTCGTTTCATTTCCTTTCCTTCGAAAAATCTCTACTTTTCTGTGTGAACAGAGATTTCTCCACTCTCGTTTATCATTTTTAGGTATCGAGCGATCGTTGTCGAAATTGGGTTATCTTTCGGAATTTGTGTTTTACCTGTGTAACTTCGTTATCGTGACCCTTTCTGTTCGAAGGAAGAGAACTTCTGTGTGTAAAGATTGATCTGTGTATACAAGGTGTTTCGAAACATGTGGGCGTAATTTCAGGGATGGATTCAGTACGTTAAGATAAGAAAAAGATTCGTCTAAACGTATACCCGATATGACGTTGTATCCGAATTATAGCCCCTTTTTGTACGATACCTGTTATTTAATCATTTTCACAGAAATTGTTCCAAGTGGAAGACCAGTGTTTGCCATGTCAGCATTTGTGCAATCTGCCATTATCAATGTGAATTATCACTGAAATTGTTAAGAAATGTATTAGACGATCACGTCAAATTTCCATACGTGCTGTTACCATTAAGAACATGTACCAAATTGTTCGAAACAAATTACAAAATGCGTTCACACAGCTGACCAGAAGCTCGTGCACGAGATAAACAATTAAAAGAAGTAGTTAATAGAGCCATAAGAATTACCGGAGGACATAAACGGCTGTAATTAGGGAACAATTATACCTATACGAACATTTTTCCTTATTTTAGCCTACTGAATCCATCTCTGAAGTTACTAAAAGTTAACAAAAAAATTCGGTAACTAAAGATAGCTCACTTCGAACAGCGAGAGTATCTTCATTAAATGATGAGAAGAGGAAGAGGAAGTTGACGGTCGAAGAGGAACAGACATCTCGTACATAATAATTAGCTTCTGTAACTGTATGTACAGACGAATTTCTGTACGTTCTGTAGTTCTGTATTTCAGACGGGCATTAGCGAATCTGTGCGAGAGAAAGAGAGAGAGAGAGAGAGGGAGAGTATAGCTACAAGTAATCACTGAAACTGTCAACCCTCGTCTGCTTCCAGGGTGATCCAGGTGCTCCGCTGATGGAAGGCCAGACGCTGATTGGCGTTCTATCCTATGGATTAGGGTGTAAAACTATGATACATCCGGGCATATACACTCGTGTCAGCAGTTACCTAGCATGGATCTGGGCGAATTCCGGTATCCACTATGCATGAGACGATATTCGGCAAAATTACAAGGTCAACATTACTAACCTTCCGAACCGACAATATCGCCGTCACGCTAAAAGTCTCTCTCCTTATGCAGAAAGGGGAGAACCAAAGGTTGGGCGAAGCTGATGTTTCCTCCTCGTTCCTACTATCTTCCGCGGTAATATCAAAGCGCTGTAACTTTACAAATTTGTCGATCATCGTACAAAAGGTTTTATGGAAATACAACGAACCGAGCATGTATGCACCTTACATTTTCTCCTTTGTTCATAAACAATTTTCCTATCAGTAAATTGCAACCGCGTGCATTCTTATTCCTCCGTGGTATTCTACTTCCACTTGCTACGTATATGTCGAGCAACAGAGAATAAATTTCGAAAAATTTCCGCGTCGTTTATCCTTTGTCCCTTTGAATTCAAATGAAAACGCCGTCGTATAAAAGCTGATAACTTCGTTCCAAGTTCAATCCCGCCAGGGGAAGTTGGATTTTCTTTTTCCTTTTTATTCTCTCGTGAAAAAGCGATACATAAATCCAGCGACAATTGTTCCGCGGAGGGATCGTGAATTAAAGGAACGAAAGATCGTGGATCATTGA